TTGTGGGAATTATCCCACATTAAAAGATGAGTGTTGCTTGGTTCTCTATAAGGTCATGTGTATTAGATTTCTTGTTGCGCGTGTAGAAACGTGAGACGAGTTGCCATGTGTCACTCTCGTGCGATGGCTACGTGTCACTCATGTGAGGCTTGAATCGGTGCACGTGTGGGAGTGTGTGTGTGGCACGTGTGACACGTACACACATGTGAAGGCTAGTTCCGGGAGGGAACCGACTAGAACCGGGAGGGAACCGGCGGTTTTGCTATAGAACCGGGCTAGTTCGATTCGAGTCGGCGTTTTTTTAAACACTGTTTTGAACTATCAAATTAGAGCTCACCTTGAAATAGTATCGGGGAAATGTAGTTTTGATATTGAAAATATTTATGATAACTTTAAAATATAGTTTTATTTTTAATTATAAAATTTAAAAAATTTAAAAAAATTTTAAAATTTGAAGGTCCAAAAAAGTTTTGCAAAATGTACTTTCTTTTGTGTCCATATATCTTGATGTCGAGACGATCAATTTAAGGATATTTTGAGCATAAGCGTTATATAATTTTTTTCTAAATGAAGCCATCTTAAAAAATAGAAAGCCTAACACATATAATATTACGAGCATATCATTTATACAAAATGTCAAAATCTCGAAAGAGCCACGTTGAGCAACACGGAAAAAACAGTGGTTCATAGGGACTAGAAAGATGAGTATAGTCCACCATGAGTTCCTCATTTATCATACAAGACTATGAAATCAAAACATTCCAAAAGGACATTGTTTTGACAAAAAAAAAAGCTAATACAAGAGAATCAGTACCACAACATTCTTCTTCATTTCATAAAGGTGAACAGTCTCTACTCAATGAGAGTTTTGAGATGCAGTCCCTTTAAGCATACTTTTAGAATGTAGCTAGTTTGAAATACTTTGAAATTTTTCTAATGAAATACAACTTTTAAATGTAGAATTAAAGTGTAATTCAAAAATCCATGGGAAAAGACCATCTTGATGTTGGAAAACCCTCTAATTCATCATCGTGACATGGAGATATATGAAGAAAGGTTTTGAATCTTCATGATTAATTAATAAAATTAAGTAATGTTGTCAAAAAAATAAGAAGAAGAAGAAAGGTTTCGAGTCTTAAAAATAATGTATCTTGCAACACGTTATCTAGACTGTCTATTTTTTTAATTTTCATGTGTTTATAGATCTATTGCATTTGAACTATTTTTAGAATTGAAAATTTATAATTAGAATTGAAAATGGATTATCAAGCCATCCTAACTTTTTATATTAAAATTATATCTTATGATAAACTTTAGAGCTACACCTTATTTTGATTGTTTAACATTTTAACCTTATACAAACCACACTTTTTCCTTTACTTTTTTTAAATTACATCCTAGAAAATTGTCTTCCGACTTGCTAAAATTGTGAAGAAAGAAATTGCTCAATTGAAATGTGAGGAATCTTTTGAAAATATTAGAAGTCGTGGTTAATAGACTTTGTTCTATCTTAGAATTTGGAAAATAATAAAAAATGTCTTTTCAAATTTTGGATATTACCGATAACTAAAATGTCCCTTTTTTTCACCTATACCCATTTTTGTCATATTTTTATTAGTACCAAATTTGCCCTCACCACATACCCATTAAGTCAGTTGCACAGATGAGTAACACCCAAGCTATATATGGTTTTCTGCCAAAAACCACCATGACTCCATTTATATATGTGTTAAAGAGCCAAAACCTTCACAGACTTGTCATATCTGTGGCAGTTTTTGGTGCGAAAACACCCATAAGCCTATCATATCTGTAGCGGTTTTTGGCTCAAAACCCCGCCACAAATCTAATAGATTGTGGTAGTTTTTTGTGGCAAAACCACATATGCTATGGCGTTGCTCATATGCTCCGTAAACTTGATGGGCCATGGAAAGGGTAAAATTGGCATTAATAGAAGTACGAGTAAAATATTTATATATCGGTAAGAAAAGATATGTGTTTATTACTCGCTTGAACTACTTAGGTTGATTTCTTAAGGCATTTTGTGGGATGTAAAAAACTTCCCTCATGGGGTTAAGTGCAGAAATATTTTTATATTAAGTGGCTGTCAATGTGAAATGATACAATCAATGGTTAAAAAGCGGATCAGTGATTCGGATTGGGTACCTCAAAAACCGATCCGGATCGGCGAATCGACGATTTGGATCGAAAATCGGCTGAATCGGTTGGATTAAAGATTCAAAAAAATCCAAATAAATTATTAAAATTCATTATAAATGTTGTTTTTTAAGAATCCAATAAGAAATGAGGATACTACATTATTAACTTTCATTGTTTTCATCAATTTATGAATATTGAGATGTTCTTTCCCTGTATGAATTTATGTTGACCATTAAATTTACATCACACAAAATAAATCATAGAATTATCATGGATTACATATATAATCATACATGGACTACAATAAAGAGTTGATTAAATCGATGAAAAATTGGTCACTAAAATCTCGAATTGGCGGAAAACCTTAATCCGTTAAAAAAACCCTAAA